TGAAAACTCCCTGATGAAAATACCTGTCATTCATTTAGCTGTCTGCCTAGCAACCAAGTTGACTTAAGATTCCTCCTGCTGAATGAGATGTAAGAATCATTGGCTAGTTAATACTATTGGTTTTGAAATCTCTACTTTCATCTAGTCAGAACTAAGAAACTCAAACTGTCCTCCTGTAGGATGGGAGTGGTTAGATTTGTTCTTTGCAATCCCATTTCATAATTATACAATCCAGACCCTTGACGACTACTTAAAATTCAAATTCCTCATGCCCAGGTTTACCAGTGAGTTGGGAATATGTGTGTTTCTTGGTTAAAATGACATTAGAGTTGATTTCTTAGGCAAGGGAAATAGAGCTATGTACTACTGGGTTTCTTTTTGTCTTATATAACAGCCTTTGCGATTGCTTTCAATATTGCATCATGATTAAAAACCCTCTTAAGCTTTTAGATAACAAATGACTTCAGCTCCATAAACTATAGTGGGCTTGGTGCTGTAGAACTTGCTAGAAAATCTGTTTGCAGAACACCATTTCCTTCCTATTCTTAGTTACATGGTAACCATACGCAGATTTACACTTATTGTCTGTTTGGAAGAGTGAAACTGACTGTTTTCATAAGCATACTCCATTTTTAATTGGCTAATTAAGTTGCTGACATAAGCAAGTATGCAATTTCACATTAAGGTAAGGATCCGTAAAGGCATGCATTTGCATAATTTAATTTTCTGCATAGAAGATATTGAAAATCAATAGCATGATTCATAGCCCTACCATATCAGTGCCATGCCACTGTTGGTTGGCTGTGGGGGCTTAGGAGAGTACTGGGTATTAAAATTGATTGAATTTGGTTTGCTGACTCTGGAGCTTTATTTGGGAACCACACAGACTGCCAATAAAATATTAAGTTGTTTAATATACTCTCTTATATGTCTTGGACTGCTATTCAAATAACGGTCTTTAAGAATTGTTTTAGAAAACTCACCTCATCATTGATTGCAATACATTTGAGGACTTCAACTTTTGTTTTCCTTTGATGTACGCACTGCCAGTAATGCATGATTATGTTGTTATTAGGGGGCGGGGCAATAAATCACTCATTGCTTCCAGATACAAAGAAAAAAAAGGAAGCTAAATATAGCCACCTTTAATGAATAGTTTATCTGTCAAACAGAAAATCTGGTGCCAAGTGATAAAGTCCTTTGCTGCCATGTTTATTTCTGAGTTACTTCCCTGAAGAATTGCTTAATGGGGGCATTGGGAATTTTCCCTTCTTACTTTGGGTATTAAATGTTTGCTGTTTCTGATAGGTGGGCATTGGCTCAAAAGACAGGCTAGGAGGGGGAGAAGGTAGTGTTTTTGTGGTGGTTTACGTGAATACATACTGATGCCTGCACAGAAGTAGTAGGTAGATGCTCCCTAACCTGGCCGAGCATGGCCTTCCTGTAGCATGAGCACACATTCTTTCATTCATTCCCTCCCTTTTTATGTGCAGGGGGTTATGTGGTGTTCCCCTATTGGGAGTGGACTGGCAGTGGTCCCGGAATATATGCGCTCCTATTTCCTGGGGACCTAGAGCCCCTCATACACGCTGTGTGCCTTTGGAAGTGGATTTTCTTGCACAGCCTGAACTTGTAAGTCCCATACAGTAACCTCAGTTCTGTAAGCTAGGGAACACAACGTGAATTTCCCTTCACTGGTGTGTAGTTAACACTATCACATTTCCTTTTTGTCCTACGAGATCTACTTTTTTGACAGGCACTTCTTCTGGGTTTCCAATCCCTAGTCCCACAGAGCCATCATCTGCTTTTCTGGGGTATCTATTCTATGCTTAAATGTCAGAGGACAGTCTTTTGATTTTTTTTTTTGAATTGGATGTTGGTATGGATTGACTTTTTTTCTGTTTGTTAGTACTGGAGTTTGAACTCATGCCCTCCTGCTTATCTGCTACCATTTGAGATGTATCTCTATTCTTTATTTTTTATTTTTTGCTTTATATATTGGGTCTCCTTTTGTTTTTGTTTTTATTACCTACCTGTTTCTCCTGCAGAACTGGAAACAATACACTTGGCTCTTTTGTTGAAATGAGAACTTCCTTTTTGTGTGAGGTGGCCTTGAATTGTGATCCTCCTGACTTCCTATGTCCCCTCCAGCACCTTGATGATCTGCATCATTCTGGGGAAGGAAAACTACTTCCTTATGAATAAAAGTGGGAATGGGTAGTTGGGATTATAATTTTATATTCTGCCTGTTATACAGAACATAGGAGTCAATATGCTTAAAGAATACGTACCTTCTCTCATTTTCTGTATGCTTGGCTCATGAACTTTCTGGATAGAAGTCTGTTTTGCTCAGTTCAGATTTGTTTATATGAATTTGAACCACATTCTTATCCATTCTGCAGCAGGCTGCACCTTTCTGCTTAGACAGTCCTTTACTTGTGTGGGTTAGATCCTGAGGGCATGAGTTGGGGATGGCAGAAGTGAAGGGAATCTTAGGTACATCTCAGTAGGGAAGTTAGTTGGCCCTTTTCTCATTCTTCAAAATACAGTTATCTGGACCCAGAAAGAGTCTCATGTGTTCCTATAATCCCAGCTTGCTGGAAGGCTGAAGCAGGGCTTTGGGGCTAGCTTGGGCAAATAATAGTCTTAACCAAACCAACCAACCAGTTGACCAACCAAACAGTTTACTTGTAGAACTCCTTATCTATCCCCTTTCTTATTTATTTCTGGGTCCCATCCCAAGTAAGTTTAAAGGCATACTTTTATTTTGTGTTCCTATCTGTTCTGGGTTCACAGACCTCAGTTCTAACAATAGCCTTTTTATGAAAGGAGAAATTCATGGTCAGAAGTTGAAACGACTGTGTTAAGGACACGATCAGTTTCACTGAGGGATCTTTTGTGTAATATGAAGAACAGGAAAAATGTTAAGAGGTATTTGGATTATAGTCTTACTACCTGAAAAGGTTAGGATAGGGCCTGGTTATTTGTGAATCAAGCAGTCACCCACAAACAGCAGGTTCTGCAAATCCAACAAACATATTTGATCGGTAGATGTTTATAGAGAGAAATGAAGAGGAGACACAGAAAACAATTTAATGGGCTCCAGTTTAGGCAATCCACCACTCCATTTACTTACATCTTAGCCCAGTAATTGTTTACAACTTAATCAGTTAATTGGCTACAGAGCTTGCTGCACCCAGCCAAGGTTAGTTACTGCAACTAAGCTCAAGTCTGCCCCACCTCTGCAGAGGTATTTTTTTGTTTGGTAAGTCCCGTGGTCTTCTTAGCAGCTCCTCTGAAGCTGGCTTTGTTTTGTTTTTTCTTATTTTACAAAGAAGAAAATGGACAGGACCCTGTTTTACTCAGTATCTTAACAACAACAACAACAATTTGGGACTAATTAGTTTGAAGCACAGTGTACATTATAAAGCTTATCTTATGCACATATAAGTAGTCTAACAAATAAGTAAGTCTAACAGTTATTTAGTGTGTGTTATTGGGGAAGAATAGGTTGGCAAGGTAGGAGATGAGAAAATTTAGTTTTGATCTCTGGAAGGTTACAGGGTCAACTTCTAGTGCTCTGAATGGCTCATCTGTAAAATAATAGGTTGGATTGGAAGATAAGGAGCATAAAACCTTCATTGTAGTTAAAAAAACAAAACAAAACAGAACATTGACTGAAATTCTGACTTTGTTATTCTAGACCAATAAAGAAAGAATAAGTGTTGTGTAGGTGTGTGTTTGGAGTTCATTAGAGTCCCAGTTTCTCATCTCCTGGAAGGTCTTGGTTCAAGCATTACTTATTGGTGTTTGCAATTTTGGTGTCTGCACAAAGTGCATTATATGTTTCTTCATTTTCCTTTCTGCTGGTCCCTTTCTTACCAAAACTCTCAGGATGATACTATTCACTATTGTGTTTCCTCCTTCCCATCCTTATCTTAAATTGAAGAAGATACAGTTCCTCTAACCATTTTCTTTGCTTTTAAAAAGCACCCTTGATTTTGTTTGGGTGCATTTAAATATGAACATAGTCAGGTGGAGTGTTTTGTTTGAAGATAATTCCATTTCATTTTGATTCTGGGCACCTGTGATGTTTGTCTTTGTACACATCCTTGCATTCAGGTGTGGGCTCACTACAAGAGAGATTTGCATCCCTGAAGGAGATGGGAGGGGAAGGGCTTTGATGGAGATTGCAGGCAGATGGAAACTCTTCATAATGGTGTAGAATTTTTTTGTTTTAGCTGTATCGATGGGATTCTTTTTTTTTTCCCTTCAGAAACTTGTTATTTAGTAGTGTTCTTTTTCTGGCATCATCTGCCTGGAAGGGTTTCTTACTTCAGATCCTCAGTACCACAAGTGATTTGTGGCTTGTGGATCAAGGTGTGGGAGATGAGGCCTTACACAGTGCTGTGGTTGGCTGGCAGAGAAACTGGCTTTGATGTAGGGATATTTATGTTTATCCCCAGGTTGGCTTACCTGCTTACCTGTGTGTTTGCGGACCAGTTAGTATCTCAGGGCCTGAATTCTTTTACCTGCAAAATGAGTACAATGTCCTCTAGCTCTGGGAAGATCAAATCAGACTATTCTAGGCTTATTCCTAGGACATATACCAACTCTTTGCATAGTTGGAACCAATACCACATGTTCCAATTCTTCCAAGAGTTTCACCTTGGGCACATGAAAATGTCTGCACTTCTTGAGTTCAATTTGCTTATTGTTGAGATGAGTATATCTATTGCCTGGTGGTATTTGGCAGATCAAGTAAAAACATATGTCAAGTATTTAATCTGTTGTGTTTCTTGGCCCAGGGATCATTGTGGACTCTAGTGAATATTATAATCTCTCTGGAGTTTGCTGTAGTTGGATCTGCCTTCTAAGAGAAGGAGGTTCTATTTATTCATCCACAAGGTCTCCCAAGTCTGTCACCTAGTATATACATCTGTCACCCTATGTTGGATAGGATGACGAGTTTGTCTAACTGTGGTCGCTCTCTCTTCCAGCATTGACTGAAGGCTATGTCGGGGCCCTGCAGGAGGACAGACACGGCAGCACAGTGCAGATCCGAAGGCGCAAGGCGTCAGGTGATCCATACTGGGCCTACTCTGGTGAGTTGAAATGTCCTGATGGAACTATGCCATTGTGCTTTACTGGCAAGCCCAGGTTTCCCCATGTTTTCACCTGAACTCTGTCTCTGGAGTCTTTCATTCAATTGAAGTTTGAAATAGCCAAGCCTATGTTTCCTCAGGTGTTAAGCACTCTTAATTCATCCTTCCACCTGTTTTCTCAACCTTTCCTCCCACCCCCGGCATTTATTCCCGAACTTTCCTTATTAATGCCTTATTATACCAAACATGTAACTTACTGAAAGACATGGCCTACCTTTTAGTGGTTGTGATTTCAGGATGTGGAAGATAACAATGGTCATCTTAAATTGCTTCAATGTCAGCTAAATATTACATATGTACCAGCTGCCGAAGGGAGTCTCATCTTCTACGAAATACAACCTTTATTTTAGGTCCTGTTGGTTGAATGTATTGTAGTTCTTTACCATTGACTGCAGCTTTTTTCATGTTTATTTTTAGTCTCCACTTTTGAGAGAGTGAAATGAGAAAGCATTGTAATGAATATTACCCTGGAAATAATTCTCTTGTATTTAGAGACCTGTCTAGATTCTGGATTATGTTTCTCACAATGAGCAACAAGATTTTGAAGCTCAGAAATATATGGAAAAAGGATTATTGCTAATTAAGGAGGAATACTTAAACAGGAAGATAGACCATCTTGGAAATTTCTTTGGCACTGAATAATTCACATTTCTTGTATGAAAGAGCTTGGAGGCATAGAGAATTACTCTTCATAATAAATCTATGTATTATGCAATGTTGTTGATTATAGAGCTGGGAAATGTCCTTTTCATAGTCATACTGTGGTTTTAAATCCTTAATTTCCACCTGCAAATCTTGTTAAATTTATGTCACTGTAAAATTTATAGGTCTGATCTTTAATTACACCTTATCTATTGGCTTTTTGCATCCTTTTGTCTATTGATAAATCTCCTGCTCCTACAGGGAGAAGAAACTATCAGTTTTGTTTCGCTGCTAACAGATAGTTATTGTGAAGTCTTCCATCACACCCAGTTCTTGGTGATTAGAATGATCTAATTAGAGCTCTTTTTGTCACTATTTTTGATAAATGAAGGATATGGGGCCAGGAAGGACAAAATTTTATTATATATATATATATATATATATATTTTATTATTTAGTATATTATCTATTATTTTACACACACATACACACATATCTATCTATATCTACCTTTATATCTATCTCCTCTTGCTAAGGAGCCCAAAGTAAATTTATCATTTTGTACTCTGATATGAGACAGAAAGTAGACTGCTGTTTATAATTCATCAATTTAGAATAATAATGCTGTTAGTCAGGGAATTGGAAGTTATATCCCATCAGCATCTCTAATTGTAAATGGCAGTGGAGATGAAAAGCCTAAAACTTCTCCTGTTATGCAGTTACAACAGGACTTAGATGGTGCCATCTTTGGGATGAAGCCATTATTGATGTCCTTGTCTCTGGAGGTGAGGGTTAATTGATCTCCATTTGTATGTGTGGAATGTGTTTTGACTAAATTTGAGTCCTCCCTTTATATTTGGAAGGCCTCATGATTCAAGTTTAGGGATTGGCACACTTTTTGCAGAAAGATCTAGATAGGAAATGTCTGATACTTTTCAGACCATATGGTCTCTGTCGTAGCCGCTCAGCTCTGCCATCACAGCACAAAAGCATCTACAGATAATTCTCGCAGACTGGCTGTCTTCTCATAAAACTTTATGAACACCAGAATTTGAGTCATATAATTTTCATGTGTCAGGAAATAATCTTTTGATTTTTTTCCCTGAGCCATTTTGAAATACAAAAAATCCCATTCTTCCTTTGCATGTTTTGCAGAAATATGTTCCCAGTTGCTTTGAGTTCACAGGCTATTATAGTTTGTTAATCGTTGTTTTGGTAGATTTCTTCTCCTGTGCAATTTATATAGGACAGTCAGTTAGTTATTTTTCAGAGGGCTATGAGGTGGTTTAGCAGAATCGGTAACATCAATGTTAGTGTTAGAGAAAAGGATAAGACAGAGACTGGTTCAAGCCTGAAATATTCAGCACCAGAAGTTAAAAGTCAGGTGTAGACTTTTCTGCCATCATATGTACACACATTCAACAAGTTTTGAGTTTTGGATAGCTTAGATTTTGGATTTTTAAGTTAGGTAGACATATGTACAGGTCTTTGTACATAAGCGGTTCTTCTGAGAAATCTACCGTGTCAGTGGTTCAGTATTGTCCTTAGTCCATGAAGAGTTGAGGTCCCTCAGCTATACTTCTTAGTGTCTAACCAATAAACAAAGAGCAGGAAGGCGTAAAAGTTGGCATTTGTCTTGATGAATTAGGTCCAGTGCCTTAAAACCATGGCAGAGTAGATATGAGATTATTAGCTACAACAATATAACTTTGGGCATAAATTTTGCTTGCAAAGGAACCCCAAAGAAAAGCCCTTTCTTTGTTAAGAAAATGTTTATAAATTTATCACAGTTAAATGAAGCCATTGTTCAAAAATTGGTTTATTGGTTCGTTTTCTAATCTCACATCTGCAATTCTCCAATGAGATATGGCCATTTGGTGTAGGAGTGAGAAGCGTATAAGACAGTATGAAATTTTGTAGTGATATTTTTAAACCCTGGTTCTGATAGCAGTATAACCATTATGTTTTTTGAAAGAATCCTTAATTGCTTGGAGTATTGGTTTTCATCTGTAAAACAGTGATAACATTCCTTTCCTTAAAGAGTTTTGTGGGGATAAAGAAAGATGATGTGTATGAAAAGTTTTAACATAGTCTCTGCCGCGAATCCAGTACTAAATAACTGCTGGTTTTGGCACTGTTAAGTTGATGTTGTTGATGTTGCTATTACTGGATTTTTTCCTTGGGTTGTCAGTTTACAATGGGTGAATAAGAGTTGAAGAAGCAAGTGTCAGTCAAATTTACAAGATTTCCTATTTAGGATTTGGGAATTGGTGTTAAGTTTACACTGAAGTTCAAATGTGGGCAAAGTACAAAACTACAACCTCTCTTTATAACTCAACTTTTATTAGAACACAGCCATTCTTATGACTTTACTTATAGTATGCTGTGTATTGTGCTATAATTACAGAACGAAGTGTTTTTGACCCCATACTTTTTGACTGAAAGTGTTCAGATACGATTTGTCTTTACAGAAAAAGTTTGTCAGTTCTTTTGATGCAGCCTGCATTTTGAATAGTTCTTGAGTTAATTGCAGAACTGTTTAGGGATGGAGAAGAGACCATTTAATTTCTTTGCATTTCTCTGGAGCTGGAATATTCTCAGTAAGCCTTTTGGATAGCATTCACAGTGATTATAGTGATCTTATTTTGGAAAGGCTGAGTGACATTTGATATGTTTTGGGGAGTGGGTCAAGGAGATGAGTGACTGGTTACTATTCTGGGTTGCTGTATCTTGTGCCTTAGGTTGCTGTGGTATAGGGTTGGGTTTGGTAGATGATCCTAACATCATTATGTCAGTGGTGTACTGTAAGTTCCGCTCCTGGATGGCAAACAGACTCTACCTTCCTCACAGCAAAGTCTCTGCCCAGTATCTGCATTACCTAGGCAACTGGCACACCTGAAAGAGGTCACATCTGCATCCGCTGAGGTCACATCTGAATTTGATGTGGCCACACCTTTCTCTGCTCATGCCCCAGATAAGGCCTAGCCTAGACCCAGACGCCCTCTTTTCTAGCTCTTTCCCAGGTCTTTCCCAGGCCTTTCCCAGCGGCACGGAGGGCCATGATGGCCTGGTACCAGCCCGAACGATGAATAAACCTACCCCGTACCTGAATACCACGTGCGTGGTGCTGTTCTTACTTGGTCACCTCTTTTTTACACATACTATCTCAGTCAATCATGAGAGTTATAGGAAGTTTAGAGCTTCTTTATAGGATATTGTCATGAGTGAAGTTCATTAAAATTAGGGTGACCTTTCTGTTTTTACTTTAGGACTAACCAAACTAGTTCATTTTTACTGAATTACTTTGCATAATGCAGGTATCCTGTTTCTATTTGAAATATTATAAAAGCTATACTTTTATAGACTAATCAGACAGTTCCTTTGTTAACAACTACAGTTTTAGCATAGAGGTTGATTCGGTTTAGGAACCTGTTCTAGATTCATTGTGGCCATTTGAAGATGGGTTACCTCTGGTTCTTTATTTGATCTGTTGTATAAAAGGGTCATACCATCTGAGTTTAATGTGGAAACACTGTCCATAAAAGATAAGAAGTAGAACATAAGACATTGTGGTTCTCTGTTAGTAGTATCCATGTCATTTCAAGATTGCTTTCTATCTTTGCATTCTTTTTCTTTATGCCAGGGAAGAGAGGGGGAAAAAAGAAAATGATCTCTTTATTTCATGCTGATTTATACCAGAAAAAAAAATGCAGTTGTTTCAGGCATCTCATTAGAAATCATAAAACAATTCCTCGCTGTTGATTTTACATAGCTAGAGATGTAGGTATTTTTCTGTGTTACTGCAGGTGATGACAGCTTATGATTTTTGGAATTTTCCCAGAATTTCTATAATTATTCCATGAAAAGTAGCACATGTTGGGTAGGTCACCATTGCTGGGAAGGGAAGTAAGAAGCAAATCTGGAAGAAGTTCAAGTGGAGATTTAATGCATTTTTGTAAACTGATCTACATGTTGCCCTTCAAATTCTTACTTGGAAAAGAGAAAAATCTTGTCCCTTCCCCCAGATTCTTTACTGTATCCTGTTTCTTCCGTGAATAAAGAATTTCTGTGAATCAATACAAAGGAGAACTCTCTTATCTTTAGAGGAATCCAAAATTTTGATAAGCAAAATTCCCTGCAAAAAGTTAATGCTTTGGGCCAGCTGAAGGTCAAATGAGATTATTCTAAAAAGCATTACTTCCTCCAGTAGGGACAACCAAGGTTCTTTCTAATGGCTTTGGTGTTGATGACCTGCTCCACTGTAAAAACCAAGATGAAAGGACCACATTTGCTGGCAT